ATGCTAAGGTCCCGCTGCTGACACGATAGCAGTCATTTAGTGCGCATATGTGTAATTAAACCCATGATATCAAAATCTCACTCCAGCCAGGTACCCAAAGTTGGCAACCCTGCCAATACAACGGCTCAAAGTGTCTTTAAATGTGGGACATTTTATGCAAAACTGTTAAAAACCCCGAACTGATGACCTAATTTTCTTTGAAAGCCATCTTAAAAACTCTTAAGTTACATTCCAGTGAAGGTATGTCATAATACAACTGCAGGCCTGTTGTGAGACAAACAAGAGCACTGCAGTGGGTCTTGTGTGCAGGATATATTCAATTGGAGGCGTTAGACCTGTCTGAGAGCTACGGAATGAACTCTATTCAGATACCAGGTTGGCCTAAATGCATGCTGTCACCTACAGGCCTCTTTTTCGAGCCATACAGGCCATTGGGAATACCGGGAGCTTTCCAGGTGGGCCGGTACCGAAGTGGGCCGGTCGGACAATTCACTAGCACCCCCCCCTTCTTTGACAATTGACTACTAGCGGTACTGAGTTGGGCCGGTCGAGTTTCCCGGGCTGATTTTTAGTCCCAGTCCGCCCCTGCTACGAGCACATGCTATCATGCAACAGGAAACCGTTACCCAGTATTTCCCGTCTGTCCAAACAATACTCCATTTTAACTTTTTAATTGCATTGCCAGGCTTGCTTGTTTGTTGATTTCATTCAGTTACAGTGCATCCAGAAAAAAGGTTTAGTTTTGAAATGCTTCGTGTGCATTTTTTACACGTAGGCTACTGAGTGATTACATACATGCACATTATTCATATAGCAATTAGTTCCGATTTAGAATTAAAAAAAGACGTGAAAATCTCAATATATGTCTTTCAAGGCTTATGAATTTCCACCTGGAGTTTGTACATTTTCCAGTCAAGTTTTCAGCTGTAAAAAAGTGCCTCGTCGTTAAGTCTTTACTTCACATATTCATCGAGTCACGAGACCCTAACTAATTGCTTCCAAGAGCTTGACAGGAGTGTTTGTGAAAATAAAAATAAAGGAGCAGCTACTGGGATGAACACATCGCAAATAAATCAAACTGTTGGATCCAGTGCTTAATACTGATTATGCACAACACGGGTCAATTGAATTAGAAGGACAAATCAAAAGATGTTACTGGTTCACGTCTTAATAGAAAAATATGATTACTTTTGTTTTTCACTTTCAACTTAGTAGAGAATCACATAATTCAGTATTTTTAGCTAGTAGCTTTTATGTTTTGAAAGCGTCTAAATATATATATATTTTTTGTGTATAATGACGGTGGGAAAACAGCATAAAAGCGATGGTAGTGATGAATCTGCACAGATTTATCACCTAATCTGCAGCTCCTCCATGCTTTACTGAGCTTTATAGCAGCCTCAGCTCGATGTTCAGTGTCAGGTCTTTAAATGTATTGTTTTGGTTTACTTTCATGGAGAGAATTTGGACTACAGCAGACACAGTTTTCACTGTAATCATCCTGCTCAATGGCAAACAGCAGCTAAAGAGACAGATATTACCTTCTGGAGTTAATAGACAACACACTCAAGGCATTTTATTAGTTTATGACATCATGTAATAAACAGCAGTTATAGCAGAGGTTTTAAAGTGTAAGACTGGGGTCTTCACAAAAAAAGTTTACTAGTATTTGGACAATTTCATTTCATTTCAAACCTTTATTTACCCAGGTGTATTTGACATCCCATTGAGATCATTGATCTCTTTTTCAAGGGAGACCTGATCAAGTAGGTTCCACATGAAACATAAACAGAACAACAGAAAGGACTATATACATTCCTTGATGCTAATGGAATAATGATTATGTTATTTGAATCCATAGACTCAATAATTGAGCCAGGTAAACCTCATGATACCGTTTGACCTAACATACGACTACATCAAATACTTAGTCTTAAGCCCCGGACACACCAAGCAGATTTTGGCCGTCGATGGATGTCAGGCCGACGATGAGCGTCCTGTCGCCCTACTCAGATTGGTGTGTCCCGCACCGTCGGGTCTTTTCGGCCGTGCCGACACCTTTTTGGCCGATTGCCTACCGACTCTACATGTCGAATCGGTAGGCAATCGGCCAATGGCTGTCGGTCAAATAAATCACTCTGATTGGCTGTTCAGCTTAGCGAATCAGTGCATGAGAAGCGAAACGGAAGTGAGGGACCCAAACAAACGATTAAGAAGGCAAATCTGAGATTTCATTGAACTCTCGACTCAGGTTCGGGAAAGCCCCGTGAGCTTCTCGCTGTAGAGTGACAATGGAACGCACACGCTATTCGTTGTTTGTTTATATCACGCAGTCTGTTCTTCTTCTCTCGGTTATCACGCAGTCTGTCTTCCGGTTGTTGCCTCTTTTGAATGGCGAATACACACTACCGCCACCTGCTGGTAAGGAGAGTTATTGCCAGTCACGCATGCGCAGTTCGTTCGTACGTGCTTCTTGGCCGTCGGCTGAAGTCTTTGCGGTGTGTTCCAGTGCGACACATGGCCAAGACGCAGGAGAACGCGAGGCGACACAACAGTCGGGGGTCTGTCTGTGTCAGTTCTTAGGTGTCAGCTTGGTGTGTCCCTATACCTTTTAAAGACGACAAAAATGATGCTCCTTTTCAGGTCCATCTTTGTATGTAGTGTCTCTACTGTGACATGTCTCCATGCTTTTATGTCAAAAAGCTCTTTATTTTTCTCATACCTCCTGTGCTGCAGCACCTCTTTTTACAGAATCTCTGTGGATGTTAGCCTTTGCAGACCATTTACATGCACTAAAACCTATTAAACAAACCACAAGAAAGGGAAAACCCCAAAAAACACAATAGGGCGTCTTTAAAACAGTTATTGATTAAGGTGGAATAAACTGAGCTCTATTTAACTAAACAAAATATTCCTTGTGATATCTATGTAATATGTTTAACTTCCACTGAAACTAAGAAGGCCTGCTAGGAGTATTACCATTTGGTTTGACTTCTTAAATACCCTTTATTCATCTGGGTGAAACGAACACGACTAAAACACTCATAAAGATGCTCTGTTGTAACATCCCCATACAGTTGCTTAATAATAAGCGAACCCTATATCATCATGTCTTGGATTTCATCAAATCTGTTGCTTCTTCAAACTCATTCATTTTAGCATAAACTAGGCCCACAAAACGTCCATCTATAACGTTTAATGACTCATAAACTTTAACATCATTTTCTGTGTGATTGATCAGCCTGTCAGTATTATTTATACCTGGAAGTAAAACAGTGAGAAAAACACGCTTTCAGTCACCTGCGAGGGGAGCTGCTATCCCAGAAGCTTCAGTAATCACTCAAAGATTCATGCTCAAAACACATCTATTATTTAGTTTATAGTGATGAACAGGGCTGTTATTTAAATGTTGCTTTAAGGTAAAAGACACAACAGATGCTTAATTTGTCTAACAGTGTATTTTCTTTTAAAAAAGCTCCAAAAACAGGTGTTGCAAAACAAGTGTTTACTCTTTTAATGAGGTGAGTGCGGACATGATAAAAGGAATCGATTTGAGTGGGTCTGTGCATGCTCTTTCCTAATCACATAGATCCTTATTCAGACAGGCGATTGTTCACCTCTTAATCCATGTGATGAATTACTGCCTGATGGCAGGCGGATCATCATCATGAGGCTCCATCTCCATTGGACCTGCACTGACTCACCAGCTTGCAATCACACACGGATATACACTGTATCAAGTGCGTATTCTCTTGTGGGACTGAAGAGAACGTGAGCTGCATATCACAGCGCTGCTAAATGATCCTCTTCCCGTCACCCCTCTCTCTTCCTCCTCTCCCTGTATCCCCCCCTCTCTGTCGATTCTCTCTGTGCTCGCTTATTATCCTCGCAGTGGAGACTCAGGGCAGAGATCTCCTAATGTTTATCACCAACCAAGTGCACGCTGTCGGGGAATAAATAACCATGGCATTTGGTGATTGCTTGATGAGATGTAGTTAGACGTGTTGACGGCAGATGAATCACGAGAAGTCAGACAAAGCATCGCTCTCAGTGAAAAGGGAGGGACATTAACGCGTGCAACATATACTCAAAAATCTTTTAATTATAGTTCAATATAAAGTGGTAGCTGTGCAATTATAGCTAACGATATATATATCTTACTCCCAGAACTAAGGGCAGCAAAAGATTAGAAATAATCTGAAATAAAGATACACACTCTTGGTCTATTACTTTGGTTGGAAATGGTTTAATTAACAGCACTTGCTTCTGCAAAACGACGTCTTGTGACTCCCTAGCAAAGGTCACCTTAATGTGGTTTATTTTGAGTTCATTACATTAGCCTGGCAAGAAAAAAAGAGTCTTTATTGATTTATTTTCTCCAGAAAAGACTGCCCTGACCCTTCGAGGTGATTGGCACTGTCACTGGATACTAACTGATACAAGTACAGTATAGATCTTATGCTTGTGTTGAGGTAAAGACATTTAGTTTTTGAATCCCACCCAAACACACATCACATGCACTAACCCATACCAGACAAGTTGTGATATGTATCACCTAAAACCCACATCACAAGTGTAGTTTGGATTCAGTAACAAAGAGTGATTTAAAAAAGTTGATGGTGTGAAAAGGCGCAACATTTCAGGAAAGATGAGGGCGCTCTGAATGTACTTTAGTCTAGCAATGTGTTATTTTGTTTCTACTCCGTTTCTTCTTGCACTATATTTATTGTTTAATGTCTTATATACATTTATGTTGCATTGTTGTAGGAGGCTTGACTTAAGATGTCCATTGCCATAACTACACTGTAGCTACTGTGCACATGACATTAAAGCCTTTGAAATCTTTGAAAGGAACAAGGAGTGAAATGTGTCAAATGAGAAGCAGCAGAAGTGGAGCAGAGCGATCACACGTACAAAACACAACATGAACATCGACGCAAAACCGATCAAGACAGACATTTGACTACAGGAGGAGTAATCACAGAGAAAGTCTTCCTTACCTCTGGCTATTCCTGCTGCCGCTGCAGTCCATGTAACATCCCTGTTTGCCGGATCAAAGGAGAGCAAAGCGATCAGGATGTGGAGGGGAGCTGGTGTCTGGTTCCCTGTGAGCAGCAGCAGCCAAACGTCCTCAAACAAACACTCGGCACGACAGCAGAGGCACTGGAGCCTCGGCAGCAACATCCCTCCCATCCACCCTGAATTAATTAACCCTCCTCTTCCTCTCTCTGATTCTCTCTCCCTCTCTGCTTCCCCCCGTGTTCAGTTTCCTCTCGAGCCCTCTTCCTCCTTTCTGTGTCACTGATCAACAGATGAGTCTCTTCCTCCTCCGTGTACCCTTCTGCAGAGTTAAAGCTGTCTTTACTCTTTGGTTTTTCTCGCAGTGAACAAAGGAATCAGTGAACTGGGAAATTAACTCGAGATATTCTTATTTTTTAGCTTTCAATGCTTTAACTCCCAGAGAACTGCAACTCTTACTTCTTTAAACACTTAAATGGTTTCTGTATCCTTGGGTGTACAATCATTTAACAGGCTGTGGCCATCTTTAAAATGAGTGTAATATGAGTGTTTATGGATTTATTAACCATGTATAGTAACATTGGTGTAACTTGGGTATAATATGGGTGTGTTTTAATGTCTTAACATGGATGTAATAGGGGGTTTACTATGTCATACACACACACACACACACACACACACACACACAACACACACACACACACAACACACACACAACACACACACACAACACACACACACACACACACACACCACACACACACACACACACACACACACACACACACACACACACACACACACACACACACACACACACACACACACACACACACACACACACACACACACACACACACACACACACACACACCACACACACACACACACACACACACACACACACACACACACACACACACACACACACACACACACACACACACACACACACACACACACACACACACACACACACACACACACACACACACACACACACACACACACTTCAATATGTCGGCCTGTTGTTGTGCTGCCGGCTATTTCTGTAGTGAAGTCATTGATGGGAAAAGCCAGCAGCCATCTATTTGATTCCTCAAAGCTCCTCATGCACACTTGCAAGAAAAAAAATAATATGTTTACGTTCATACGTGTGGTGATTTGCCTCATTTCACAGACTTATAGGCTAATCGAGGCGGATCCCTGGAGAAATAAGAGTGTGCTTTATTTTTCTCCTCTCCCCTTGTTCTCACGGAGCCTTTGTCCATTTCAGGGAATGAAATGTCCTCACTGCTTTTCATGCTTTTGTATTTCTGTCAAAGAGAGCTCTAGAGATTGTCAAAAAAAGGAGAATCTAAGAGCAGAGGTTGTACTGTAAGCCCACAACCCAAAGATGGGGACAATCCTAACGATGGCAATGGGAATTCTGTGAAAAACCTTACAGGGCACAAACTAATCTTAAAACAGAAATTGGCTCTCCTGCTGCCGTGGGTCTCCAAAGTAGCTCAGAGGAATGTGATTGTGTTGAAGGAGAAAAACACAAATCGCTCCAAGTTTCTACCACTCCCCAAAGAATTCACTGATAACTTTAGAGCACTGGGTGGTTGGTGGGATTTTTTAGACAGAAGACGGAAGGAGGGGAAGCCTGTTGAATGTCAGCGATGGTGATGTCATTTGAATATCAGACACCAGACAGAAAGGGCTTAAACTGCAGCAAAACAAACGGCTCTCAGCTTAATTTGAGAAGCAGCAAAACAGGATTAAAATAGCCCATCGTTGACTCTTTTGTGATCAAAAGCAGATTGTTTTCGTCTGGGAAGCATTTCACTGACATCCACATTACATGCTCGCTCCGAATAACTCAAAGTGATGCGCAACTTAGCTAATGCCTGATTATTTAAGCAGACAATGTTTTTTCCAGAGTTGTAAGTGCAGAGTTTCTGTATCGCACACAAGTTATATGGAGTAGGTTGGGATGCCACACAGTCTCACGGCATTTTGTGTTTAAATAGTCACGAAATTAATCTATTGATTCGTGTTCACCAACACGATTTTGCCATTTGTTTCGTGTCACACAGAAGGATTTTAAAAGCAATGGAGATAATAACAGATTAGAAGGAAAAACAGATTAAAAAAATACAGATTTCAGTATTCTGACACAGAACGATTTTAGAAGCAATGTATTTCTATTATTGGAAGAATGTTTCGTGCCTGCACCAAATAATAACAAATTAGAAGGAAAAAAATATTAAAAAAATACAGATTTCATTATTCTGAGGCTCTGAGCCATTTCTTTTCCTCGCGGACGGCAACAAAACTCCGACAATTTAAAATAAAAGGGATAGGGTTAGGCTTAGGGTAAGATATTGAGTAAGAAAATGTTTTTATGAACCACAGCTTCCGGTCGTCCAAAGAGACGTGGTGCAGGCACGAAACATACTTAGAAATACATTGCTTTTAAAATCGTTCTGTGTGACACGAAAACAATGCGAAAATCGTGTTGGTGAACACGAATCAATAGATTCAATTAATTTCGTGACTATAACAGGAAATGCCGTGAGACTGGGTTGTGGGATGAGTGGAGAGAGTATAGGAGCAACACTTTAACAATCAAGCAGCCATTTGCATCCTGTCTTTTGGTTCGTTTCATATTATTTTCACATTGTCGTTTCATTTGTTATTTTTAAAATAGTTGATGAAAGGTTTGAGTCTTTCGCAAATATAAAGCCACCTCCTGAAGCCGCTAAGCCTAGCCCAGAGATTGGAGATCGCTTGCACTTTGTTAGCACTAGATAGAGTCCTGCAACCTGTGTTCTTGTTTAGAGTATTTGTGCTAAGCTAACTAGCTGCTTGCTTACCAAGAGGACACGAGTGATCATCCGACTCTCTGGAAGATGAGCAGTCTAAAATGTGAGTAATTTTTTAAGCAAGACCTAACCTCATGCTTTAATTGTTATAAGTGGATATTTTGCGGTTTTGAAGTAGAATTGATAGAAGATGGTTCGTTTAAGTAGGTATTTCTTTAATATCACAATAATAGTGTGATTAGTTTGACTCAGTATTTCCTCTTTAACCCCAACCCTCAGGAAACAACCGTCTTCACAGAAAACCACATCTCTTTGTGAAGTGTGAAAAGAAAGTCAATCTGAAGAAAGGTACAGTTTTCTTGAGTGACTGTATATTTCTTCCATTTGTCAAACCTGTGTGGGCGTAATATGTGGGCTCGGACACAGGTGGCATTTAACCGTTCAAGAGATGAGATGATAGGACATCGGGTAGGTTTCATCACGGAGAAAACTGGCAGTTGCAACATCAAAAAAAGTGTACTGCAGTACAAACAGGAAGATGTGACGCTCAAACTGAAGCTTTGGAAGGTCACACGTCAGTCAGTTTCACTTGACACCTGCTGAAAAAACAGCAGGGGAAGCATCTACTGCCACAAACTCTTCTTGTTTCACTTCTGGAGATCCTCTGTAACCATAGTGGTTGGGTTAGGAGCTCCACTCTTGCTTCACTTCCTGTAAACTTCACGTTTCTTTATCACAGCGCAGCATTGTTTATACGTCACAAACACAGATTGTCCTTGAATCAGCGGGTCCATACACACCTCACAACCACGTATGCATCGTTCACTACCCATCCACCCACGCAGCCACACACACAATCAATGCGGTAACAGCAAAACAGGAAGTGGGGGTAGAAATAAGTGGACAGACAGAGTGTGCAAGGCAGCAGCAGCAAAAGGACGATAACAAGACACCACTTACTTAAAAGCGTTTTCCATTTAATTGGTTTTGCCTCATGTTCAGCCGTTTCTGCCCAAGTATTGAAAACTGATTTCTTTATCCTCAATTGTACACAGAAAATGATAGCAGCTGAAGTCACTCCACCTTCTGATCATTCTGAGATCCATTCATCTCCATCAACACCTCCCCCACAACGTATGAATAAAAGAGTTCACAGAAATCAGTCAGGGACGCTCTCCAGAGCCATTGGAAACATTTCATAATGGAGCCCACTCATGGCTGCTAAGTGGCCGACAACTCAATTACTCCAAAGAATGGGTTGGGTTTTTTTCTGCGGCGGCGGCCTCGACATCATGCATTCATTCATTCATTCCTCTTCTCTAAAAGGCATGCACATCGAGGATTATTTAATAAGCCTCAGACAAGAGTTAATCTAAAAAGGCCTCAAGCTTTCAGGTTCAGGGCAACCTTTGAGTTTAAAAACTCGCTAATATTTTTTTAAATGTCAGTTTTTACAACAAAGCGGTTTTACACTACTGTTCCCAGAGATCAGTGTGCAACAAACATATAGAAACTGAGCCAAACAAACACATTGTTTTGTATAAGAAGTCAGTCAATATGAGTTACAACTGCAATGTGATATCATGCAATCTCTCTAATATCCAGCAGGGGATTCTATATAGAAGTCTATGAGAAAATGACCTTTTCACTAAACTTTCTTGATGAGTGTATGGTCTGAATCTCTCGTTTAAAGTATTCTTCAATACATCATGGTGATTATTTTGTAAATAAATCAGGGTATGCTACCACCGTGTTATCAATGTGTTCGTCTTACAACTTTAACCCTTTGAAAGTGTGTTTTCAGTTCGTGAAAGTTAATTGTAATTGTGTTTTTAGTCCCATCTGAGGCGTGTGGTGCAGTGGGTTGTGCGTTGGTGTTCGGATCAGGGGACCACAGGTTCAAACCCCACTGCAGTCAGCAGGTCGTTGTGTCCCTGAGACACTTCACCCCAAATTGCTCCTGTGGGGATTTTCCACAGTATTTAGTATGTAAGTCGCTTTGGATAAAAGCGTCTAACAAGTGACATGTAATGTAATCTTAAAAGGACATTTACAAATTGGGTCACTTCTGGTACTACGAGAAAGATGGTGGCCAAAACGTCATAATAAAGACTTCACAAACCGATTGGTGAATTCATGGAGACTAAATCTACTTCATACTTAAAGTCTATGATTAATAGGGAGCTAAAATAACTGGAAAATGATCTGAACATATGAAGTGAGTCACATGACTACGAGAAACGAAATTGCTACAAATGTCAACTGGATTTTGAATTACTTTTCCATCAATTCTGTTAAATTCCTTTGGTTCTCTATAAATGGTACCACATAGAGATATCATTACTGAATCGACGTGACGGATAATGCAGACCTAAAAGTGAGCCTTTGATTCCATAAAATCTTAAGGGCTGAAAACCAACAACAACAT